CGGCGCCGTGTCCAGAGAGACAGCGGGCTCGTGGCAGCAGCCCAAAGACCTGCTGGTGGACACCAGCAGTGAAGCAGGCAGGCTTTCAGGCGTGGACGGACCACGAGGAATATAGCTTTTATTAGCACAGAGGCAAAACTTCTTGCGACATCCCGGTTTCTAAATGACAAAATCAGTTTGTCATACAGGGTGCATGGGCTCTGAGTTATTAACTGCTTCACTCCCCCTCCCGAGTTATGGTCAAGATGCCTGCAGGATGCCTCCCTATGAAGGTATTTGGGGTATGTCAGCTGCGAGTAAAGTCCAGACCAGACAGAGAGCAACATGGAGGGACTACACATCCCAACTGGTCTGGGAATCGTCAGAAACGCCCTGGAGAGGCTGCTGTAAGCGTATCTCAGAGTCAAAGGTATAACAGATAGTACATGATGCCTCTGAAACAACCAACTCTCTTGTAGTTTTAACAGCCAATGATCGACATGATGTGATAATTATTAATAGATTAAGAATTTTATGCTGGCTGCAGATTACTCAAAGCAGCAGCTGTTTGCGTGTGTGTGTGTGTGTGTGTGTGTGTGTGTGTGTGTGTGTGTGTGTGTGTGTGTGTGGGAGCATCTGTGCTGGCAAACACAACCATGAGATGAAAGCATGTGATGTTCAATTTGGTGGTTAGATAAGTCATTTTTCCAAACACAGAGATAGTTCCACTCTGTGTTCTGGATCCTGGTTACAGAAAAACAACAACAAGAAGGAACAAAAATTGCTGACGTTCAAGTACGACTTACTTGCAGAAACTCCCCAACGCGCACGGTGAGCATGAAGTGGAACTCTCCTGCAATGAAAAGAAACCTGAAAGCAGCAGAGGGAAGTGAACTCAGCATGTGTAAAGTTTTAAGCAGCAGTCTGTGAGTCTTTGTTGAGATCATTGCATCTTTATGGTCTGGATTCAGTAGAGACATTTTAAATATAGAATTTCTGCCGGCTGCAAAAACACGAGCAGTTACTGATTTACAAAAAGCTAAATAAACACACCTGGCAAACAACTTGTGCAACGTTCTGCTCCAGTGTCATTGCTGAAGGACCCAGTGGGGCAGGGGTGGCATAATGGACTTCCAGTGAAACTGTAAAGCAGGTTGAAAAACAAACAATAACATGACTTGTGAAGCAGACAACCAAGAAGACGATATTATTTGAATTTGGATCAATCTGCGTCCTCACTTGGTGTAGAAGCCCCGGCTGCAGGGCAAACACGTCTGCTGTCCAGCTTCTGGCTGATAAAAGCCCGTGGCACATGGCTGGCAGGCTCCAGGAAATAAACACAGCCCAGGGTCAGTGCAGCACGTGCACAGCAGGGTGCCTGAGGGACGGAGAAAGAAAACCATTTTGCAACTTTATTGTCCATTCTCACATTTTTACAATCCTGTAATGAGAAATCTTAGCAGGCACAGACAGGGCAAGAGAGAGGAAAGAATAAAGCAAGCAATGAAATAAAGCGTATTTATGATCCACCGTCACACACAATAAAGAGTAAAAGAGGAGGGGAGGGGGTGTCTCCACGGCGTTGACTCACTGTTGTCGTATTGTGATCCCGGCGCACACGGCTCACAAGTGGAAACGTTGAAAGACGAGCAGCCTGGGGTCGTGCTGCTGAAAATCACGGGTGTTACAGTCAGACCGGTCACATTCTCCACCAGGGTGGTGTTCATCACGGCCGGAGTGAGGGTGGTCTGGCTCACCACCATGACTGGAAGAGGAGAGACGACGGACGTTTAAAACGTGATGTCTGGCAGCAACACAAACAAAACTGTCTGAACTCAGGCTACGGTTTAACCCTATTCAGGACTTTTGGGGTCTTGGGGTCCCCAGGCCATTTGGTTGAAGTGACAGGTTTGTTTTTTAAATATAAAAAGAGGGACATTAGTCATGCATCTGAAACCCAAAACACTTATCAGAACATTTACTAAACATGGTATAAAAGTCTAATTCTATCTTCTCCGGCTTCCTCCCACAGTCCAAAAAACATGCTGAGGTTAATTGGTGATTGTAAATTGTCTGTAGGTGTGAATGTGAGTGTGCTTGGTTGTCTGTCTCTAAGTGTAGCCCTGTGATAGACTGGTTACCTGTCCAGGTGAACCTGCCTTCACCCTGAGTCACCCTGATAGACTCCAGCCCCCCATGACCCGAGTGAGGATTAAGGTGTAGAGATGATGGATGGAAATTCTTTCTTGGGGTCCAATGAATCCCGAAAGACCACAAAATAAAACCATATGGCTGCATAACTCTGACACTTTATGTACATACGTTTTTAAAATCCATCTTTGCACACTGGGTACCTATTTATTTATTTTATTTTATATTGTGTATTTTGTTTTCTATTTTATGTGTACCTTCAGTGCCGGATGTCTTGTGGGGTTGTCTGTAGCTGCAGTAACAAGTAACTTCCTGCAAACGGATCAATAAAGTCACTGTACCATCCTAAGACCTTCTACGTACGACAACATTAAAGTCCTGAATAAGGTCAAGGAGCCAAACTATGTGCTTCTAGTTTGAATCCTTTGCCGTTTCCCTTTGTTTTGTGTCTTCTCTCTTTGGTAAACCATCTAACAAAATGAAGCATCAAATCAGTACATTCTGGCTCATAATGAACAAAAACAAGAAGGTTGTTTTTGACCTTGCCCACATCATGCACATCTGGTATTTAGAGAGAGTCGTCTAATCTCCGATGATTAATACAACACTGGAAGCACAATAGCGAAACATTACAGAGGATTAGCAGGGCCTAAGCCTTTTGGGGGCCCTCGGCAACTCCTCTGCTCAGGGGACCCTCCTCTCCCTGCGCTTAAATAATTGATTAAACTTCATGCTTGTTATTTTTCCATTTATACGATACAATCCATATCACAAGCAGCTACTGCGGTGTCTCCCTTCCTGGGTCTCTCTTGGTTTCGGTCACATGCTCTGAAACCTCCTGCTGACAGAAGTCGGTTTCCAGCAAATTCTGACGATGAGCAAACCCCTTGTGTCTGAGCTCGTCACACAACCGAGGTATGAAAACAACAGCTCTGCAAGTTCTGCCGAGTCCAGCCAGGCATAAAAATATAATCATAAAAGAGGAGAGCTTCTTCATTAAACTTTATCGTCGTTGCATCTTAAATCGCTCCAGTAAATCTCAAGTAGAAAGAAGAAATAAAGAATAAAACAGCAGGGGCAAACAGGTACAAGCACATCAGCACAACAGAGCCCATATTGTGGTGGTAATCACATAAGCCATGTGCTTAAGTGCTTTCTTGAATAGGAGCCATCCTCCTCATGAAATGCAATTATTCAGAAACGGGGTCAGGTGATTCTTCTGCTTCTGACTCTGCTGGGCTGGCAGCATTTCTCTTATTAAAAAACAAAAGTGTTGGACATACAGTGGCTGAAAGTTCCTATGGAGAGATTATACCACAGAAAGAGTAGAACAGAAATACTGTACATTGATTTTATAGTGGTTTCAAATGAGGGGAAAGTTTGTTGTGGTGTCTGGGTGCAAAAAAAAAAGAGTAAAAAATTAGGTTATTTGTGTTAAATGAGCTTGGGTCCTGCTAAAATAAAAGCTACTACAAGCAAAGCCACTAATAAGGTGGCATTTCCACATGAAGCCTTTGTTAGTTCACTGATTGTTTTCTACTTATGTTGTTAGTCTGATGGAGTTATCATTTAAAGCAGTGAATTAAACTGCTGCCTACTGTCTTAAACCTGCTCTCTGGTGACTTTCTCGGTGTTTCCTCGGATCACAGCTGCTGTTTTCGTCAGAGGAGTCCACACTCACCAATGCAACACGCGGCGGCTACAGCAGGCAGAAGTCCCCGACAGTCCATCCTCCAGGTTACCGAGCGCAGCCAGCAGACAGTGTCGGTCCCCCTCAGCTCATCCCTGACAGGCGGCCGAGCTGCCCGAGTTCCCGCAGAGGACAGCGGCTCAGCTCGCCAACGCAGGAATCGGTCCTCTCATCAGCGTCATATGACAAAATAGGCATCATGTGATTTTGCTTTAGAGGGCAAAACTGAGCAGAATGGGCTGGATTGAGTGAGAGCTGCTGTTGTTACAGGGAGCAGCCAGCAGGGACGTCCAGAGGAGGGAACTTCATGTGTTTAGTAAGTCCAGAGTTTATATGTAAATAGATTTCCATGTAAAATAATAATTATGTAGGGTGTTACCTTTAATTGATCATCTGAATTAGTCAGGTCGTTTATTAAAGTGTTGAAGGGTCTGAACCATTTTTTAATGATCTGGATACATTTGAATAATTATTGATGTTGTAGAGTCCCAACTTTAATATTTAAGTTTGACAAGTTCACTTGCATTTTGTATAATATTGTAGGATCCTAACTTCAATATTTATTTAGTCAGGTAAACTTGTATTCTATATAATATTGTTGTTATTTTTTAATTGTATTTATTTATTTTAATATTTTTACATTTTTATTTGTTTTCATTTAAAAAAGTTTATAATGTCGCTTTAAAAGCAAAGGAAATATGCGCAGAAA